GGGGTGTCTGCCTCGTGGCTGCACTCGATGAGGCTATAACGGGGTCAGCCAAATTAGCGCGGCAGGGCTTAGCTTGCGTGCGAAGGGGGAGAGCGGAAGACGGAGCCCGCTCCCGGGGGCAGGCAGACGCGCTTTCCTCCCCCAGCGCGGGGCCGGGCGCGCGGCGTCGTTCGCTGGGGTCTGTTTAGCTCCTGGCTTAGCCAGACCGCCGCGCCTTGCCCAAAACCTGGTAGCCAGCAGGCGCCTAGACCGGGGCCGTCACCTTCCTCCAGGGGAAGCCAGCAGGGCTGCCAGCCCCACGCGGGGGAGACGGGGGAGGTACCCCCGTGTCCCACCTGCTGTACGCTGCGGGACGCGGGCAGCCCGGAGCCCAGGCTTAGCCTTCCCTTGGGCAGGCGCTGCCCGCACCTCTCCTCGCCCCTCCCTGGGAGGAGCTCAGGCTGGATTTGGGGCTTGTAGTGATGAGACTCGGGCCATTCTGAGCCTTGCTGGGGTACCAAATACCTTCATCTCACCATGCAGAGCCGTTCGAGATGCTCCCAGAGTTTCCCAGCTGGGTCCAAAGGGCCCTGTGTCCTGCGGACCCCGTGTCACCTCTGCCCACCCCATGTGCCAGCTTCTGATAGCCGACGAGTCTCAAATGGCAGAAGACATTTGGGTGAGGGGTTGGAGCTCAGATGGTCACACCTGGGTATCCTGCACCAAGCACCAGGGCGGAGGTGATGGAGACCAGGTCCTTGGCTACATGATGGAGTCCTCTCCTGAAGCACCATACCGCAGGCATAGCCAGCACGTACAAGGAGAATGCGCAAAACAAAGGTTTGGTGCCTTCAAGGAACCTTCCAAGGAGACATTCCATGGCTGAGATTTGGACAGACCTTCTGCACCTGATCCTACCTTTCCTGTTTGAAAAGCCAGAGGCAACCCCATCCCTAAGTTGTTCAGGCTCAGGCCCTGAGCAAAGTAAAAGATGTTCCTGCTCATTGCAGAGGGGTTGGACTAGATGACCTCTAGAGGTCCCTTCCAACCCAAACTATTCTGTGATTCTATGATTCTATGATCCTATGACTCTATTATTGATTCTAAACACTAGCCCAAGCAAGACCTGTGCTATGAGTTGCACCTCTTGAACATCAGAGGATGCCTGGGTGTCCTTCAGAGCAGCTATGACTGGTGCCAGTCAGTTGCTGACCCGCATGTGGGGAAACATGTGCCTATCGCTGCAGAGAGACACATAACAGATCAAAGCAGGTACAGAAACAGCATCCTGGAAGTGCCTCCAGGACGCCAAGCAAAGAGGTGAATCTTCCTGTCACCAACCCGCTGCTGGGCTCCGGGAGGTTTTCCTGGCTCATGCGTCATCGACACTGCACAGGGCTTCTGCGGGGAACTGGGGGAGTGATTAAAACTGTTCAAGGGCAAGGAAGCTGTGTGAACTCCAAAATGGTATGAAAACCACGTTGTTTTCTCAGCTCCTCCAGTGTGAAGATTATCTGTGCATGACAAGCTGTTTGGCCAAGGTGGAAGAGTCACGTCTGAAGCAGAACGATTCACCTCAGAGAGTGGACAAGGCACCCAGCGTGTCTCCAGCATGAACCCTGTGACTGTAGGGGAGTTTTGGGGTATAGTCTTGCAAAGTCACCTGTACACAAGAAACCACATCAGTAATGCCACGGAAGGCCAAGACTGCCTCGATAATGACATCAGATATAACAAATTTGAGTATGGATGTAGCAGAGTTGGGACCAGTAAGGAAAAAAAAAGTAATGAGAGGAAGATTGTTTGGGTTGAGAAAAAGAGGCTGCTAAGGCAGAAATAAAAAAAAAAAGGGGGGGAATAAGGTATGAAAGCAGGCAAGGAACACAGGAGGATGGTATCTTTCCATGGTCAGAGGATGAATGCCTACGGACGGTGGTGATGCTGACCTGGGGACCCAACCACATGAGATGCCCTTGGACAACTTGCTGGACTCTCCATCAGGTCGATGTCCAAAAGACTTACTGCAAGAGGGCAAAAAGGGAGGCACTTGTACCCTGGTATGAAGAGCTGTGAGGAGGGAAGGATGGTAAAACTAACTCAGCAGTAGTAGCATGTGATTCATAAGATTTAAGAGTCATACCTTTATCGCTGTGTTTAAGAACGTGCAAAATCAGATCATAGATTAATAATGATAATGTGATCATTAGTTAATTATGTTGTTGCTTATTCAAGTGATTTATTAGTCTTTTAGAAGGGTGTTGCTTAACCAGGGGACATCATGACCTTTTGAGCATCTGCAGTCCAAAGAGGGAAGGTCGGACCCTGAAGGAACACTGTTATATCTGAGACGCATGTGCCACGAGGCAAGAAAGCTCTCCTGCCACCACTGGCAGTGCCCAGATGTTCACGGCAAGTGATGGTACATCAGCAGCGTAGACCAGTCCATTGCAACGCCCAAACACTATCCCATATGTCTTGGGAACGCCACTCAAGGAAGACTACCAAGGCAAACCTAGCAGAGAAAAAGACAAGCAACACTGTTTTGTAATCTTGGGGATATAAGTTTGGAGGATGCTTGGAAGGTAACTTTTCTGCTTGATTTGCCCATGAAAAATGAGGTTCCACACAAAAGATACAGTCCAGAACAGTGTAAAAGCTACGGAAACCATCAGGGAGCCAGCAGAGCATCAAGCAGGAGACAAGTAGTTGGGAGGAACAGTGCTTTGTCTCTAACGCACCTGCCTTTCCCCTTCGCTGAACCCTCTTTGAGCTCATCTGCGCGCATGAAACAGGAAAAGGGTAATCTAATTAACTATTCATCACCAAACACAATAAGGGCTGAGGCCAAGTCCCAGCCTCCATCTCTTGGTCCTGTGAGGAGGCAAAGTCTGGAAAAAAGGAGGGTCTCTCGCTCTCTTGTTGCAGCTACGAATGGAAAATTAAAAGACAGCAACAGCGAATCTTCTTTATCTGGAGTAAGGCAGTAAGAAAAGAATTAAAATCATGTCTGATCATTCCTGCAGACCACTTTTAGGGTGGATAGAAAATTCATCAGAAGTTCTTTGCTGGAGAAAGGACAGAGAAGTGAAAATAGAATGGAAAAATGGAAAACTTTCTGCATTTTTTATTTTAAAATATTTTCTTTTGGAGTATTATTATCACAGCTTGCTAATGTCCACATGTTTAACATGGTCCCTGCCAGAGGTGAGGGCCACTGCAGACCTTCCTCCATTTTTGCCCATGGTGCCGTCCCTGGGCGATGCATGCTGGCTCTCCTGGCTTCCCTCAGGGCCATCTCAGCACCTTGGAGCCACCCTAGCACATCCCTGGGCTGGTGGACCTTCAGTACCAAATACATATGCAGTGATGTGAACAGAGAAACTCTGCCGAGAGCGGAGAGATGCTCATCTTATGGCACAAGATTTGGTCCATCACATCCCATATGGAAAACACATATAGGATTGATTTTGCTTGCTTCCTTCTACAATACCGTTGGGTTGGTAGCCAGAGCACTCAACATCTCCATTCGATGTAAGCTCCAACCTCAGCGTGTGGCTGACTCGCATCACCCAGACAAAGCCTGGTTTTAGTCTCAAGCCTTGGGGATGCCCAAGCCCACCAAGGACTGCTGCTACCCAGTGAAATGGCAAGCCACATGCTTCTCTTTCCAAAGCCCTTCTCAGCAATCACCTCCACATTTTTAGGAGAGCTTTCACCACCCAAATACTTGTTGAAGGTCTTAACACCTCTGCTGTCAGTTCGATTCTCTTGAAAGCAAACAGGCAGCAACAGGCATGGTGCTCGGTTCCTCAGGGATCTCCAGCATGAGGTTTTGCTCACAGAAAACTATTTCCAGGCCGCTGTTCTCAACGTTCACCATGAGGCAAAATGAAGAATGTCCCAGGCTCCTTCATGGGGAGACATGGGGCCGGAAAGTGCGTGGTCGAATCATCATGACCACCTTCCTCAGGGAGTAGTAGTCTGTGTCCTTCCATGAGTACCACACAATACCGTCCGGTCCCAGGATCTTGCGGTTTTTAATGGAGTATCGGCCGCCCTGTGATGCAGAGAAAGCAGGATGGTCAGGCATGGGGAACGTATGGAAGTGTCATCTGGATGGGAACATCAGAAAACCAATTGCTCCGGAACACTGGAGCCAAGAGCTTGATGACAATGCAGTGAAAAGAGCATGTAAACCCCAACGTGTTCCAAACGGTCCCAATGGAACTGCCATCTATCCGTCTCGGGCTGCATGAGTCACCCATACCACACGTTGCCGGCATCGCAAACCCCAGCGTGCAGAGGTGTCTCAACACTCATGTCTAGCCCGTGGCACTGAAAAGGCTGGACTGCCTTGGTGCCCAGCACCCATTCTGTTCCCTCCCTGGAGAGCAGAGGCTGGTCAAGCCAGGAAGGACTGCTACGACGTGAGGACCAGCAGCTTCCTCCCAGCCCTGGACCTCATGTGCTAACGTCTGCATCCTCATCCCTCCGTAATAGCTTGTAATACACCCCGTGGAGGCTGCAGAAAAAGCACCAGTTGGAGAAAAAGCACCTTGTGTCCTCATCCCTCCATCTTACCTTGTAGTACACCCCATTGAGGTTGGAGAAAAAGCACTGGTGGTACCACCAGCCTCCGTGGGAAATCTCGGCGCAGATGTTCCCCGAGTCGGGTGTGCTGAAGCTCCTCTTGTTGTGGTACCAAGCAAAGGAATCCTCCACCGTCCCACTGAACCCATCCACGTGCAGGCGGTAATAGTTTGCCTCATCCTCAATGCTGCAAGCAACAAAGGTGGGACTATTTAATGGGGAGTGCGTGAGTCTCCTTTCCAACCTGGATACTGCATTCCTGGTGTGGACACCCAGCAATCATCGAGATGCTCTGGCAAGTCTCCCTGCTATGATTCATCACCTCTAGAAGCCAAAGATGTTGTATGTCTCCCTTCTCTGGGATGTGCATGACTTTATCATGACTCAGGGCACTTGTTAGAGGGCTGAACTGGGCAGACCGTGACTCTAAAACCACAATAAAGGACTGCGGCGGCTTTGGCAAGACAGTCCCTCTAATTACACAGTACCGCCTCCTCCACATAACAAGCACCCCACTCTTCACCTAGACTGAGCCAGCATCGGGGCTAGCAAAGGCTGAACATCACCACCATTACACATGACATCTGATGGCACACATTTGCTAGTGGAGGATGCTCCACGGCACATTCAGGCAGTGGGAGTTTTTTTCCCAGAAGTTTTGGGGTCTACTCAAAGCCCTGAAGCTTCAAGTGTCCATAAGGTGCAGTAGTCCCTTGGGCATCCTCCCGTGGTGGATCACTCCACAGTCACCCACAAGCATTTCCAGAAGAGACAGGGAAGGAGTTCATCTGGGACAGTCTGGACAGACTTGGTCACCCCTGATTAAGAAAGGATGTGGCTGATGTGGCATGGATAAATAAAGCACCTGAGGAGGGGATGAGCTATAGACACTGAAGGACATTACATCAGGCCCAGCAAGTAAAAGCCATGAGTAAAGAGGGTAAAAATCAAAACATGACTCTAAGCCAGGGAGATGCTGGAGGACTTACCCAGCAAGACCATGGGATTCAAAACCCTGTTTTTGACATAGAGATTAATATTTTTGGCAGAAAAAATACCCCTAAGCAGCTGGGGACAGTCCACTGGGTCCTACAGCTCCCTTCACCTGTGGCTGTGGATGTTGGCCGTGGCCAAACAGCACCGCACATTCGCTAGCTCACATCCAGGCTTCAACCCGGAGCAAAAATTGGTGGTGAAATCCAGGTGGGGAAGAAAGGATAGACAGACAGACAGCCTGGACCCAGTCTGAAAAGCTCTCTAGACAGAGTCACTCTGAGCTCAATGCAGTTCCCACACCTGAAGGTCTCCTGGCATTGAACCAGTTACGTCTATGCGAACCAGGGAAGGCCATCCCACTTTCTACCTGAAGACCTGGTAGAAGGCATGCTTGTGCTTGTTGTTCCAGTCCTCCAGGTCAATGCGCAGAGAGTAGTCTCCTTGGCTGGTCATCTTGTGGATGTTCTCATTGCCCAGCCAGAACTCACCACTGAGTTCCCCAAAGCCCTCCTTGTACTCGTTCCAGGTCCGGTTGAAGTCAACTGAGCCATCCTGACGTCTCTGGATGACTGTCCATCCCCCACCTGCCAGGAGAGAATTAACGTAAAAGAGGAGTCTCCAGGGAGCATCCAGGGGTCCCAGACAGACCCCTTACTGGTGTCAGCTCTGAGGATCCATCTGCAGCCCAGCAAGGTGTCTTCTTGTCATGTGTCCTCCCACCAACTGGCAAAACACAGTGTCGGTTGGTGCAGAGGGATAAAACCCACAGGCTCACCATAGCTCATGGAAAGAGGCTCCAACCTCTCCCGTGTCGGTTCATGATGTTGTTCCCCCTTTGGCTGTCAGAGGGTCATTCCACACCTTAGGGTGGTTTTAAATGAGAGATGCTAGTTTTCAGGCGGCAAATGTTTTGGGACTGGAACTAACTACAGCTCCTGGAGTTTGGAGATTATTGTGTACTGTTCCTGCAGCACCACAGAGGCACACGAGCTCTCCTAGTATTGTCTCATTGTCTCCATCTGCTCTCCCATCTGTCCAAATCCCTCTCTTCTCTCTCATTTTATTCCAATATTGTAAGCTGGGGCGGGGGGAGGCGGGGCAGGGGATGGGACTGGGGCCATCTTTTTATTTGCTGTTTGTACAGCCGGTCACTCTACAGCGTCCAAGATTATGTTGATGGTCATGCAAATAATAGTAATGACATAACAGAGACCACATTGTCTGAACAGCCTGTTTCTTAATGAGCACGTGCATCCCAAAGCTGCAATCACCTGTAGATACTACAACAGGGGAGTTTTGGGAGCTGAACCCCTACCTCCAGCATGGGACAGGTTGATGTGACACATCCATCTGGGGCTGGAGCAGATCCATGGGGCGAGGGACTGGCAATCCACCGCCCCATTTCCCAGACGATTGTCATTATTCTTCCAACACTCAAGTGTCACAAACTGATTTTGTTAGCAAGTTTGTGCCTTGGGATGACAGTAGTGTGCTCCGTACAGGTATTTAGATGACAAGGGTGTGGGAGGTCACCTGCTCCCTCATTTACACTCTGAAATACCTGTGGGAGAGGATTTTACCTCCCCGCTCCTCACTTCAGCACAGCTACAATTAGTAGTTGCCCACATATAGCCCTCTACTACCTGGAGATGCTCCAGGTACCCCCCAGTGATCAGCTGCTACTCCAGAAGGGCTTCTCCTTCCTTAAGTCCTGTGTCATACCCACTAGCGTGTGCAAATACCTTGGGTGCACGAGAACATCTCAAAGAGCACTAAACGCCTGTATTTAGGCCACTGAATCCCAGACGTAATCTCTGGTTTAAACTACCCACCCAAACCCCTTCTACAGCCAGCAGAGAGGACTCGTCCTCGGTCCCCGGAGAAGCGTCCTTCTGGAGATGCTGCTCTCCCTGACTATAAAGTAACTTCGAAATAGCTCAGACGAGACACAACTCTCAGGTTAGACAAATCCCACCCAAAACTCTGCTGGAAGATGTTGTAGGTGCCTCCTGCAGTACCTTCAGTGTCCATCTCACACAGCACTTCGATAGGCATCCCTCTGACCGAGGGCATGATGCTGTAGACACCAGACCGCCGGAGCCCGTTGTAGTAAACAGAAGCACAGTCGATGGGGCAGCTCCTGGCATGCTTCACCTCTGAGCGAGAAAGCAGAGAAACGCAACGTTTAGTGCACAGCGTGGAGAAAGGGCCACGCAACCAACACCCCCAAAGATTTCGTGCAACTGTAATCCAGAACCGGATAAATAAACCCGGATCCCGAGCTGCTTCTGAAGCTGCAAACCTCTGCAGCATGTTGGCTTCACACCTGAGTGCAGCGGCTTATTAGCGATAAGGTTCGTTAGCAGAGATCTGCACTGAAGGACGATGCGGCTGAAGAATGGTCTTCAGTTCAACTGTTTTTTTAATGGCGACACAGAAATTATGTGCATTTCGCCAGGCTCAAATTAGATCCTCTCTCACACTAAAATCGTCCTATACATTGATATAGAGTAAGCTGGCTCTCCAGCGATGGTCGGTGTGGATAATAGCGGAAGGTTTTTCTTCTCTCAGACTGCTGCTGTGGGTTTTGTCTTACAATGGAAGGGGATCAAAATCATTCTGGAGAACCTAAAGGTGTTTTTAACTGGGATACATCAGCTGGGATTTATTTTGCCTGGCACCAACCATCTACACTTCAAGCAGGAGGTCTCCGCTGGTCCTTAGAGACAGGCTTCTGCAGAGGGTGTGAATTCACCCTGGATTTAGGTGGGAGAGGAGAAGAGCCGCTCTCCCCGTCTCCCTCCATCACCCACCGAAGGAGCTCAGCTGAGTTGTCTGCACAGAGGTGCACGGTGACCTCCCAGACGCCCTGGGGCTGGCTTTCAGCTCTCCCGTGTAGGTCCTGTCTTCTATCTGGCCGGCTTATGTGGACCTCTTGGATGCTCCAGGGTCTTTCGGGTGGCAGTTGGTGTCAGCTCGGCTGAGACGTTAGCCATAGCAGTGGGAAGAGCACACTGAACTGCTCTCGGTCCACACAGTTTGCCTTGTTATCTTAACTATCCAGTTCACACGGGAAGATGCCTATGTAGACACCCAACATGAAGCATCCTCGTCTGTGAGCTGAGCCTCCTTGGTGGGACGAATCCTGTCTCCAGAAAAAAAGGCACAAAGGCAGCTCACACAGGCAGCTCCCCTTACTTTTATGCACTCAGCTAGACCAGCCTGAAGCATGGCATGGCCTGAATACCAGACTGGGATCACTGGGAGAACCAGGAGCCTGAGGGAGGGCAGAAAGCATGCATGGGAGATTGCCCTTCCATGAGGCACACAGAAAGGATGAGACCATGGGACTGGCAGATGATGAAAGCTCCTTGTGGGTGGGAAAGTAAGTCCGGGGTGGGGGGATGATGGGTGAATAGTTGCAACACCCCAGCCCACCAACTGGAGAGCGTGGTGGCTGGGAGGTCCTCTGCAGGCTGCAGGCTGGTGACAGATTGGGGACATCCTTTGAGGTGGGCACCAACCACCAGTGATGCTGCAGGGGAGAGTGTGGGAGAAATCAGTTGTGTGCAGCAAGCAGAGGACAGGGAGAGGCAATCTAGACCCAGCAAGCATCTAGGACAGCAGGCAGAGACCAATCCCACCTAAAGTTAATCAGCTACGAGTGCTGCATTAACTGCCCGCACTTGGGCTGGCGTTCTCCAGGCCAGAGAAGTCACCACCCCAGTCACATCAAGTTATTGAGACGAATCCCAGTTCTGGCTTGCAGGTGGTGGTCATGGGGCTAGACATCAACTCTGATGTCCTGGTTTTGCAGAGAGCACTTCTTGCTCAAGGTTCAGAGGTACCTGGAAGCAGGCGAGAGTGGAGTTGCTTACACTACCTCCACCACGACATGGATGACCAAAAGAGTTTTAAACGAGAGCAATGGAAAAGACTTAGACTAGTTGGCTCAGGGAGAAGTAACATGACTTTCCCTCCCTCAGATATCACCAGATCAGATCAAGCTTGGTAGGTGAAAGCCGTTAGCCGTTCAGCTGTGCATGCCAGCTGAGTCATCCCATCCAGCCCACTCCTCAACGGAGAAGACAGATGCTGTCTCTACAAGAACCTCAACCACAGTTCAATGGAAGGCTGGAAGTCTATTCAGGAGAAGTATCACTTCATCCTTCTCCAGTGCTCCTTCTGGATATCTGCTGTGGAAGATGGGATCTGGGGCACGGGGACAAGACTGGCACATTTCATCCTGTCTTCTCAAACACCACCACCCTCTTGCCAGGGACCCAGAGACTCAAAAGGGTTACAAAAGCAACTCGGTTTCCCTTCCAGCACCTCAGGGCTGAGCTTTGCAAATCCTGGCTATGGTAGGCCCTGGTCAAAAGGTTTTCATGGTGGTGGGTTCTTTGGAAGAAAATGGGGTTTTAGTCAAATGGAACCTTGAATTTTTTAATTGAAAGTTCCCGTATTTGCTAAAAAACAAAGAAAACATTTCAAGGATTAGGAAGGAAAAAAACCAAACACCTGGCAAAAATTTAAATGCATTAATTAAAAAAGAGCATGTGAGAAATAGCAGAAAATAGTTGTTTTTCAAAGTTGAAGAGTTTCACCAAAGCCCTAATCTCATGCTGTGAATTTTTGAAGAAAAAAAAAATCGTGATTTTTTTTGGAAGACTATTCAGGAGAAGTATCACTTCATCCTTCTCCAGTGCTCCTTCTGGATATCTGCTGTGGAAGATGGGATCTGGGGCACGGGGACAAGACAAAAAATCGTGATTTTTTTTTTTTGGTGGATTTTTTTCGGATGGAAAAAACAGCCCCTGGAGCTGGGAGGAAGGTTCGTGCAGCTGACTGCAGGTGGGGTGATGGTGGGAGCAATGCCAACCGGGTTGTCAGAGCCTGAGCTGGTCCCTGAGAGCATCTCACACCATCTATAGAGAGAAAAACGAGCCGTCGAGGGCCAGGACCTCTCTCCTAGACGGCACAGAAACCATCCCCAGAGGTACTCATTGCTCTGAGGAGCCTTCCTGGCTGCCTTGGAGGGGCAGGTTGGGTGAGCTCAGGCTCCTGGCCAACGCAAAGGCGACGTAAAGCACTTTTCCCACGCCCTTTCCCCACACCCCGCCTTGAGAGAGGTCCTGAGGGGGAAGCATCCCCTCCCACCCTGCTCCAGCAGCCCCTCCTGGGTGGTGCATCTCCTCCTGCAGCCTCATCTCGGCGGGGCTGAGGCAGGTGGGGTTACGCCAGGCCCAGTCGGTCAGGACGGAGATGTTGTTTATCTGCGCCTGCATGTCGTAGAGCAGCGTGGCCTG